GCTGCTGGCTGCTGAGGGCATGCAGCCAGCAGCAGCAGCAACAACAACAACCTGAGCAGCAACAACAACCTGAGCAGCAGCGCAAGGAAGGCGAACAACAAACGCCGGGGCAGCAGCAACAGCAGCAACAGCAACAGCAACAGCAGCAACAACAGTGGCAGCAGCAGCAGCAGAAGCAGCAGCAGCAGCAGCCTGCTGTTCATGGCTTTTGTGTCTCTATAGCAGACAAGGACATGCAGCAGCAGCAGCAGCACCAGCAGCAGCAGCAGCAGCAGCAGCAGCAGCAGCGCCCCTCAAGCCCTGACAACCCAAACCAACAATTCCCTAACTTCAGCTGTATGTACACCCTAAACCCTAAACCCTAAACCCTAAACCCTAAACCATAAACCCTAAACCCTAAACCATTTGCGTCCTGTGTCTTTTGGAAATGTTTAAAGGCCTGAGCCAACTCTTCATGGGCTGCTGCTGCTGCTGCTGCTGCTGCTGCTGCTGCGGTGCAGCGCTGGTGCCTGATGAAGGCAGCAGCAACATATACGATCCCGGGATCGTCTCCTCCCTGGTGCATCGTCTGTGCAACTCCGTTAGCTGTCTCCTCGCAGCACCAGGGGCCCCACAGCCGCCTGCTGCTGCTGCTGCTACTACTACTTGTTCTACTGCTTCTGCTGCTGTTGCGGCTTCTGATGCTGCTGCTGCTGCTGCTGAGGAGAAGCGCATCGACGCTGCTGCTCTTGCAGCAGCAGGTGCTGCTGCTCTTGTTGTGGCAGACGGAGGAATTAATATCAGTGGGCCCCCTGTTGCTGCTGCTGTTGCTGCTGCTGCTGCTGCTGCTGCTACTGCTGCTGCTTATGCTGCTGCTTATGCTGCTGCTGTTGGTGCTTCTAGTGGCGTTCGGTGCTGCTGCAAGTGCTGCTGCTGCTCCTGTTGTCTCTGTTACTCGTGCGCTTGCTGCTGCTGCTGCTTCTGCACCTGCTGCAGCAGCTGCTGCTGTTGGCGTGTTATCTTGTTTGCTTCTCTCGCTATTACTGTAGTTGCTGCAAATGCATCTGCACCTCTTCAACCTGCTGCTGCTGCTGCTACTGCTGCTGCTGCTACTGCTACTGCTGCTACTGCTGCTGCTGCTGCTGCTGCTGCTGCAGCGGGGGGTGCGTACGGGAACGAGGAGCTGCTGCACGGGCGGCTGCTGCTGTCACAGTTGCTGCTGAGTGTACAAATGCTGCAGCACGGAGGGACCCTCATTCTGTCTTTGTTCGACGGCTTTTCAGACTTCACTGTCAGCACCAAAAGGGTTTAGGGTTTAGGGTTTAGGGTTTAGGGTTTGGGGTTTAAGGGCGTTTAGGGTTTAGGGTTTAGGGTTTAGGGTTTGGGGTTTAAGGTCGTTTAGGGTTTAGGGTTTAGGGGTTTAGGGTTTAGGGTTGAGGGCTTAGGTTTTTAAAGGTTTGAGGGATTGGGTTTAGGGTTTAGGGTTTAGGGTTTAGGGTTTAGGGTGCATGTCGCACTTAGTTGCTGCGCAGCTGACAGGGGGTGCTGTCTGTACACCGACGAAGCAATAGAAAGCTTGAATCCTGCTGCTGCTTCTGCTTCTGCTGCTGCTTGTGCTGCTGCTGCTGCTTGTGCTGCTGCTGCTGCTTGTGCTGCTGCTGCTGCTTCTGCTGCTGCTGCTGCTTCTGCTGCTGCTGCTTCTGCTGCTGTTGCTGCCAGCTGTCTCTGTTATATTTATCTGTCTCCTTATTCCAAGAGGCCCACATCGTCAAGCCGAATAGAGAGGGATTTGAACGGTATCGTTGTTGCTGCTGCTGCTGTTGCTGCTGCTGCTGCTGCTGCTTCTGGCGTTGCCTTTGCTGCTTTTGTTGTTCGTGGTGCTGCTCGTGCTGCTGGTGCTGCTGGTGTTTTTCTGCTGCTGGTGACGTTGCTGCTGCTGCTGCTTGCGCTGCTGCTGCTTGCGCTGCTGCTGCTTGCGCTGCTGCTCCTGTTTCATTTGTTTTGTGCTGTTGCTGGTGCTGCTACTGCTGCTGCTGCTGCTGTTGCTGCTGCTGCTGCAGGTATTTTGTGGGTATAGGATTTAAGCGCCTGGACGCAGAGGCGTCTCTGCTGCCTCAGCCATTGCACGCAGCAGCAGCAGCAGTAGCAGCAGCAGCAACAGCAACAGCAGCTGCAACAGAAGGAAGCAGCCATCCATCGCCTTTGTTTAGAGCAGCGGTGCATCAGCTGCGCCGCGTGCATGCAGCAGTTGCTGCTGCAGCAGCAGGAAGGCCCCGCAGCAGCAAGTTGCTGCTGCCAGCTTCGCTGCTGCCGCTGGACCTTCTCGGAGGAGGAGACAGTTGTTTTGCTGCTGCTGCTGCAGCAATGACAGCAACAGTTTGTGCTGCGCATGCAGAGACCCTCAGCAAAACGCACGCGATGTGCATAGCCCTAAGAGCAGTAAGGCTTCCTGCTGCTGCAGCAGCAGCAGCAACAGCAGCAAGCGGTTGCTGCCGTCGTTGCTGTCGCTGGCTGCTGCTGCTGGTTTTGCTGTTCTTTCTTTCTCGCCTCCTGATTCTGCTGCTGTCGCTGTTGCTGCTGCTTCTGGAATGGCTAGCTGCGCTTTGCTTCCCCATTCCTGCTGCTGCTGCTGCTGCTGCTGCTGCTGCTGCTCTGCTGGTCGGTGTCGCTTCGTCCCGTCTCGATGTGCTTCTGTTGTTTCTGCTGCTGCTGCTGCTGCTGCTGCTGCTGCTCAGGAGCGCGCCAAGGTAGAGGCGCAGCTGAAGTGCGGGCAGCTGCGCCAGTCTCCGAAGATGCTGCTGCAGCAGACTGCAGCAGCAACAGCAGCAGCATCACCTGCTGCTGCTGCTGCAGCTGCTGCAGTTGTCAAGGAAATGCAGCAGCAAAAGAGAGAGTCTCCCCTAGCAGATACAGCAGCCAGCGAGACAGAGACAGTAGACACTCCAACTGACGTAACCCACACACCCGCTGCTGCTGCTGCTGCTGCTGCTGCTTGTGTTGCTGTTCCTGCTGCTGAGGCGAAGCCGCATGCAACCACCGCAGCTGCAACAACAGCAGAAGCAGCACCTGCTGTTGCTGCTGCAGGAGAACCACGAAAAAGATGTGGGGGTAGTGTTGATAATTCCCTCCCTGTTGTCTGGCGCATGCAGCAGCAGCAGCAGCAGCAGCAGCAGCAGCAACAGCAACAGCAACAGCAACACGAGCTGCAGCAAAGGGCATCCTTCGATGATGTGCTGCGTCTACTTCCATCAACACCAGTGGCGTTTAAGGCCTCTCGCCGTCACGTGCTGCAGCGGCAGCTGCAGCAGCAGCAGCAGCAGCACGAACTGCAGCAGCAGCAGCAGCAGCACCAGCAGCAGCAACACGAGTTGAGTTTGCACGACGCAAGCGAACCTGTGGGGCCTTACCCCAAGTGTTGGGGTGCAGCAATATCATCAGCAGCAGCAGAATATGTCCTCAGTGCCTGCAGCAAATCATCAATGCAAGCGCTGCCGCAGCTGCTGCTGCTGCTGCAGCAGCAGCAGCAACAACGCCTAAGGCAGCAGCAGCAGCAACCTCGGTACCTCTACGTGGGGCAGAGACACCCCACACTTTCAGTTGTACAAACACCTCAAGCTGAGCCTCCCGCTGCTGATCTGTTGCGACGCTGCAGCCAAACCACGCAGCAGCAGCTGCAGCAACAGCAACAGCAACAGCAACAGCAGCAGCAGCAACAGCAGCAGCAGCAGCAGCAACAGCAGCAGCAGCAGCAGCAACAGCAACAGCAACAGCAGCAGCAGCAGCAGCAACAACAGCAACAGCAGCAGCACAGTGTGCAGCAACAGCAGCAGGAAATGCAGTGCGTGCAGCACCAGCGGCTGGTCTTCAGCTATCATCACCGTCAAAGCCCCCAGCAGCAGCAGCAGCTGCAGCAGCAGCAGCACCAGCAGGCCTTCCAACAGCAGCAGCTGTGGATGCAGCAAAGGGCTTGGCATCAACAGCAGCAGCAGCAGCAACAGTGGGCGGAGCAACAGCCGTATCAGCAACTGCTGCAGCACCAGCAGCAGCCTCTTATTTATCACTGGCAGCAGCAACATGTGCTGCTGCAGCAGCAGCAATACTGGCCCCCCCAAGAGCAGCGGCAGCACGTGCAGCAGCAGCAGCAACAGCAACAGCAACAGCAGCAGCAGCGCTATACATTTAGTTCTATCCGAAGCTGCGGCAGCAGCTTTGCTGCAGCATGGCCGGCAGGCAAGCAGCAGCAGCAACGGAAGCAGCAGCAACAGCTGCGCCCACAACAGCAGCAGCAGCCACAGCAGCTGTTGCTGCTGCATCCTCGTCAACGTTGTCGACAGCGGCAGCAGCAGCAGCCGCCGCAGCAGCACTATGGGCAGCAGCCGCAACGGCTGCAGCAGTGCTGGAGGCCAGTTGCTCTCAAAAAGCTTTGAACGTTAGCAGCAGCAGCAGCTGCTGCTGCAGCAGCAGCAGCAATTGCAGCAGCAACAACAATAGCAGCACCAGCAACCGCGACACCAATAGCAGCAATAGCAGCAACAGCAGCAGCAGCAGCAGCAACAGCACCAGCAACAGCTGCTGCTGAGAGGCAATCGAATTTGTCTCTGCCTCACTCTTTCTGTCTGGCTGCCTGAAACCCTAAACCCTAAACCCTAAACCCTAAACCTTACACCCACAGCCGTAAGCCCTAAACCCTAAACCCTAAACGTTACACCCAAAGCCATAAACCCTAAACCCTAAAGGCTGTAGGCCTGTCCTCGGGTATATGCATGCACCTCTTGCTGTCTGTACACCCCACTCCTCTTCGTTTGCTCTTTAATGAGGAAAAATAAATTAAGAAGCAGCAAGCACATTGCTGCTGCTGCTGCTGCTGCTCTTGCTGCAGCAGTTCAGGTGTACAGACACCCGAATCCGCCGCATTATAAAAACCTTACACGTTATATATATATATATATATATATATATATATAT